TCTCTCAAAAGCATCTAACTATCGGAATAACAAACAACAGTGAAATGCTGCTCCTTTAGATCTTTTTTTCTTTGGTCAAAGGCCAATAACTTTCTGCTGCCTCAAAATAGCAACGTGTCAAACAATTGTCTGATGATTTCCAAAATATTTTTGTACTGTTTAATGTCTGATTGGTCTAGTGTAATGTTACTGTATTTTGCTCTAAATTGTGCATGTGAGGCGGGCTCCAAACAGTTTCAGAGGAGGCTCAGTGAATTCAATTCAATTCATTCATTTTATTTATAGCGCACTAAATCCAATGAAACAATACTACACTAGTTATTATATTAGTTATCAAAAGGAGATCATATAGAATAGCCTACCGGTGTAACTGGCTTAATGAGAGAGTTAAGTGATAAAATACTTTTGATGAACTGAATGTGTTACCAGAGTCAGAAACTAATAAATTACCTTTTTTAATGTATTTCAGGTAGTCTGAAGTTACGTCAACAGCAATAGTAGCCTATTTTGCTTCAATTGTTGCGTGTCTATGAAATCAAATAACATAATCATGATCCCACAGGCATCCAGGAATTGAGCGAGACTAAACAAATAAACACCCTTTCACAAGCTTTGTCTGAGGGGAGGACTACACTCTCAGACTTTGAAAACCCCTGCTACAAAGTGCATTTGTACATGCAGGAAACCTCGTGCTACTTCTCAACTCTTTTGGCATGTGACCCCTGAAAATAAAGCCAAGTGTACCTGTGGGTCCTCTTTGAAGGTTATATATGCCTATAGCCTTTAGTGTGCACATGAGGCGTGAGCAGTTTTTTAACACCTGGTGACGGATCCTGTTTGTGGATTTCAGCTCTGCTTTTAACACCATCATACCGGCCCTGCTGAAGGACAAGCTCTCTTAGCTGAGCGTGCCTGACTCCACCTGAAAGTGGATCACTGACTTCCTGATAAACAGGAAGCAGCATGGTAAGCTGGGAAAACATCTCTCCGACTCCAGGAACCGGTTCCCCCTCAAGGCTGCGTTCTTTCCCCTCCGCTCGTCTCCCTTTATACCGACAGCTGCACCTTCAGTCACCAGTCCATTAAACCAGAAGTTTGCAGATGACACCACCCTCATTGGGCCCATCTCTGGTGGGGATGAGTCTGCCTACAGGTGGGAGATCGACCATCTGGTGACCTGGTGCAAGCCAGAACAGTCTGGAGCTCAACGCTCTGAAGACCGTGGAGATGGTCGTGGACTTCAGAAAGAGCCCAGCCCCACACTCCCCCATCATCCTGTGTGACTCCCCCATCGCCACTTTGGACTCCTTCCGCTTCCCCCCAGGACCTCAAGTGGGAGCGGAACATCACATCACATCATCCATCACCAAAAAGGCCCAGCAGAGGATATACTTCCTGCGGCAGCTGAAGAAGTTCAGCCTGCTATGACAATGATGGTGCATGGTGAGTCCATCCTCACCTCCTCCATCACCATCTGGTACACTGCTGCCACTGCCAGGGACAAAGGCAGGCTGCAGCGTATCATTCGCTCTGCAGAGAAGGTGATTGGCTGCAATCTTCCATCACTTCAGCTGACTGCTCCCACCCCGGACACAAACTGTTTCAGACTCTCCCCTCTGGCAGGAGGCTGCGGTCCATCAGGACCAAAACCTCTCGCCACAAAAACAGTATATAATAATGCACATGTAAATATCTGCGATGTTGTTCTTTCTCTGCAGTTGTATTATTTTTCTCCATTCTTTTTAATATTCTTATATAACTTGCATTGTCTATTCCATATTTATCTATTTCTACATTTATTTACATCAACTGTATGTTGTCTACATGTAGCACCTTATCACTAAAGCAAATTTCTTGTATGTGTAAAACACTTCTTGGCAATAACGCTCTTTCTGATTCTGATTCCAGTAAAGGTATGCAATATTTCACAAGATAAAAAGTATGTTTAACTAATATTTATTCCTATTCCTTTAATCATTTTATGACCCCATATTTATCTTGAGATGTCCCAATATATTAAGAACCACTGTTCTGGGATCTGCTGAGTGTCTGAGTAAAGTGGTCAGTGTTGTGGACCTTTTCCCATCAAGCCCCATTTTGGTAAGGTGATAGTCTCCATCTAGTGGTGGTACAATGAAGCCAAAATTTAATGTTTTATTGATTTACTGAAGTTTATTCATTACATTATTGACAGAAAAGGTGTATTTTTTCCCTGTAACCAGCAACATTAACAAATACAAAACACTGAAGCAGAAAATAAGTCTTTGTGTTGTGATTAAAGAGGGAAGTAAAACCACTAAACCTATATAGTACACCTCATACAAAAAGTGGAACGCATCATTAAAATGTGAAAGAAATGACAGTATTTTACAGTAGTGATTAGTAGTAGATTGAGAGCTTTGTTCAGTCTCAGTTTGAATAGAATCAAGCACAATTCAGAAGTGTAATCAAAAGTAAATATGACGGAAGAATCTTTGCTTTTAACAGTATCAGTAAGTCTGATGTTGTATTATTGATTGTAGGCTAGTGAATAGTGAGGATGTTTTTGTAAAAGATCTAGATATTGATATAAATAAACTAACTTAATAGACTAATCTTATAATCTTAATAATAAATAATATAAAAATGTAAATATGATAACTAAGAAATAAGGCATTTTCATCATAGCAGTTACATTTCTTTGACTTGAAGAGTAATTTTGTAACTGTATAACAGAACAAAAAAGATAACATTGCCCTTTAATTCAGTTTCTTTAAACTTTTTGTTTTTGTCTTTTGATTATCAGAGCTCAACAAAAACTTCCCTATAAACTACGTAACACCAGTTCAGCTAAATTATCATCAGAATTTACTGTTAACGACGTGCAATCACCCTGAGACATCATGCAAATAGCCCTCAAGCATAAATCCCTTAAATATTTAAAAACATACACAAGTAACACTTTAACAACATAAAAAAACATGATGGTTTTAAAACTTAACTAAAAAGAGAACCTATCAGCTACCAATGCATAGATTTAGCAATCCTGTCATTTTATGAAGCATGATAAATAAGGATGACGTTTTTAACAACACAAGCATTGAAAGTTATGCGTGCGCTGATTCAGTCATTTTACATAATTTCTCATAAAAAAGAGAAATATTCGCAAACAAGATTCAACAAAAATGAGTTTTCTGAAATGACAAAAACACTTTTAGTTTCATTGCTTATAAAAACTTGTAACTTGTCTTTATATACTTATCTATAGATTATATCTGAGTATTGACATCAGTAACGGAGTTTTAACAGGATTCAGTTGATCGGAAAAGTTCATCAAGAGTCTCTCAAACGTTTTGGACAATCAGCTCCGTCTCTGTGTTTGTTGCTGTTGATTCTCTGTAGAGCAGCTCAGTCTTCACCAGCAATTAAAAAAGTAGAACCAGAATATAGATACGGGTTGTTGCCCAGGAAGGGCATCCAGTACCTCCTTGACCTGCCCCCAAGAAAGACCCTTAAATCGCAGCAGCGCGGGCAGGAGCTGCAGGTTGTCGCTGCAGTTGAGGAAAAAACACCAGGAAAAATTCTCTAGATGCTGGCTTTAAGAAAATCAAATACAAAAACTTCAAACTAAACAAACAGAAGTCAATAAAGAGCCGAAGTTAAACCAGAACTTCTGGGTTCTGATCAAGAAGTAACAAAAACCATTATTATTTAAAAAATTATTAATTACTAATATTCCAAACCAACAACAGAATCTCACTCACTAGTTTATCATGCAGCTCAGTTAAATAGCCCAGTGGTGATTCTGTAATAGCTAATATTTCTGTTTTGACTGGCCTTATATGTATTATATTTTGCCCTGTATTCATTTGTCCTTCACCTTGTATCATCCATGCTAGCTAAAAGTGGTTGATAATAGAGACAGCCAATGTGCGAATCTGTCGCTTGGCCCTTATCACAATACATCATGATACCTGCTGCTTTCTGAGCACCAATTAGTTGGCCAGATTTAGATTTTATGATTACAGTAACACAGATGGAAGCTACCAGAAAACCTAAACTCTCAGAACAGATTTGGGAGTTTTTTTATAAACGATCAGTTCTTATTAATATCATAATAGAAAATCCTCCAACAGCCAAAGCAACACTATATATCAGAAAACTTTGCAAACATCAGAAGGATTTACCTCCATGTGGGACATGCATGCTGCATGACTGCAACTATGATCTTCACCGCTTCTGTGTCTCTGCACTCCAACAGCTCTGGGACTTTCAGCAGCGTGAAGTTCCACTGTCTTACACCAGGAGCCTGACACAACACACAGTGAAGATCCAGTTGCTAATGAGTAAATGTCATTAATAAGACAGTCTGTTGCCAGTGATAAATACCAAAATGTTTATCTAACCAGGTCTAAGATGGTGTAGTGAAGTAGCTCAGCATCTTCAGTGACAGTTTGCCCGACATTAGGATTCCAGCAACTCTCCAGTTTGCTCTGGCGGCTTTGGACCAGATATTTGAGGTAAACGTGAGCGATGATATTATAGACCCCGTCCATCACTATCTGAGAGATGCAAAGACAGACAGAGAGACAGTTCAGTTTTGGTCCAGAAGAACAACAAGAGCACCCAAAGCAACACAAAATATTTAGACAATAAACTTAAAAAGATATATTTTATAATGAACACAGATATTTGGTTGAAATTCTGTCATTATAGCAAGTAAAACCTTCTGATTAAAGGACTAATGGCTTTGTGATTGTTAAAGAAATCATCTTTATTGAAACACTGACACATTTCTTGAGACTATAAGAAGCATAACTGGGGAAAATTGACATTTACAAAACTCAAACTGGCAACATCAAAACAGCTGCTAATAAATCCATCATAATGTTTGTTTTTCGTTCGTTTTTCGTGTTGTCTTTAATTAATAAAGATTTAAGATTTGAGAGTCAAGACTTTCCCCTACTACAACCTACTGTCTCAAATGTTAAAGCTTAGATTTCTAACGTACCTTTAGTACATCCTTGCAGTACGACAACTTGGGGAAATGCATCTTTACTATGTCAATTAAGAAGAAAAAGTGCTTGTTCCTCGATTTGAAGTACTTCGCGAGGTGGATCTGTGGGACAAAAATTGTGATTTAACAAAACGTTAGAATTAGTTTGACAAAATAAAGATAATCTTAATTATATTTTCCTGTTAAAGAATAAGCTTTCACACTATAAATATATGCATAAATGTTGTATATGTGATGAAGCTGAACAGCTACCTCTGCAATCTCAGATACAACGTCCAGCAGAAGTTTCAAAGTAAAATCTTCCATGTTTTCAAGTGTTGCCACAATTTCATTGCAAAGCGAACTTTTGATGTGTTTACGTTTGGTCTGGACGAACCGCCTGAGAGGAAACACCATAAACAGCATTGTGATTTCTCATCTTCATATGTATTTACTGGCAGTACTTTGCCATTTCACTATGTACTGATAAAAGTAATCCTGTGGTGAATCATGTGTTACACGCATTTATATATTACATTGGCTGTTATAATAGTGTGTTTTTATTAATATGCCGTAAGGAACAGTAACAAGTTTGATTTTTTAATTTGGCAAAGAAACAGAAATGCACAAATACTGACTTTAATTCGATGCAGGTTTTCAAAGTCTTGAAGAAGTATATTGTTTCTGGTGCGTCTATTTTCGCCTTTTCCCCAAGAATCTTGGCCTGCTCAACTGTGTACCTACAAACCAAAGGCATTACAACACACTGAGTTTATATTTATGTTCATTTCATTATGAGGGAAAAAGAACTTTGTCATTAAATCTTGAAATTGACTTTGTTTTTTAATGTAGAGTCTGTCTTGAAATCTGTGTCGATGATTTGTTTATTCCTGATGTAAAAGAAGACTCTCACCTCTTCAGAAATGTCAGCAGCTCTTGGAAACAAACCTTCTGCACAAGAAAATATACTTTCAAGCTGATTTTTTTTGCTTCTTTTGACTTGGCCTCAATGCACTTGAAGAGAAACAAAAATAAAGAAGGAATATTATTTTACAACATCCAGAGAAATGATTTAAGGTAAGGCAAACTAATAAATATGACAATAAGAAAAAGGACAAATGTTATCAAAATGTACATTAAAGAAATTAACAAACAAATGCACATAAACGCACACACAAGTTAATCAGAATACTTTCCCACAGTCTGTCACAGTTACCAAAAATAGTATTAAAACTTCTTCTTCACTAAGTACCTGAATAGTGTCCACATAAAGTTGAACATAAGCTTCCTCACAATCACAACCTTGTTGGCTTCTCTCAATCTGCAGGATATTCTCCAGTGATTCTCTGACCTCTTTCTGCGGGCAAAAAGAGACACACAAACATATAAGAAGTATAGATAGAAAACAGTAACTTAAGCACAGATAATAGGTTTTAATGGCCTTTGTGTACCATGTGTACGGTTTGTAAATGTCTGATTTTTGTTGTGGTCATCTCGAAAAAGGCACTGCCACAGTAATAAATCCCATTCAGAGACACAGAGAACCAGTATACTACAACACTGAACACTAGAGTGCACCATTTCTCTGCAAACAAAATAGTATTTCTCCTGAACTATTTGACAGATACTAGAAACACATACATCTGCATGCATGAGCTTTAAAATAGAGCCATTTTCAAATAATCTCTCTGGTAAATGCCAACAAATGTTGATTTTATGCTCTCAGCAGCCCTAACAATATAAGAGTTATTACCTGCACTTTCTCAAGCAGTTTGTTCTTTGCATTTTGGACCCATTCTGTCAACAGTAGGAGGTCGACTTTTTTTATGGGATCCATTTCTTTAAGTTCGGGATGACCAAGCAGGTCCTGACTGGGAAAATATCACAAATAACATCATTAAGAGGACACTTGTGCTATGCTATGTGTTGTTTCTGGGACACATTAACATCTTTTCAACAAGATATAATGTTGATTCGTGCGTCTTAGAGGCGCTGGAAGTAGATGCATTGGAGTCTATTGAATCTTCTTCACAGCATGATGTTCATTTAGAAAATTATGGTCCCATTTAGAGCAAAATAGATGATACAGCAGGTTGTGTCAGATACTAATAATCACAGTATGTTTCTAGTACATGAAAGTTAATTGCAACATTCTTGTTCAGCTTTAAGCTGTATTAAGTCTCTTAGGAGTCAGCTGTTCATTTTTTTCTGGTGGGTACACCACTCACATTCACACCTGAGGGCAATTTACAGTCACCAATTAACCCAGCTTGCATGTCTTTGGATGGTGGGAGAAAGCCGGACCAACCAACGAGAACCCACGCAGACACGGGGGAACATGGTAACTCCACACAGAAAGGCCTGGGACAACCAAGGTTCGAACTCCGGTCCTTCTTGATATGAGGTGACAGTGCTAACCACTGCACCACCCATGTAAACATGTTCAATAGAAATTTAAATAAATCAAGAAAGATACAGTAAGTAAAAACACAGAGATAGATACCTCAGATATGTATGCAGGACCCACTTCATCAGCACAAAGAACTTCTGGGAGGAGCTGATGTTCTGGAGTAGATCCATGAGGTGATGAAATGTCTTGATATGGTAGATGACAATCAGACATTCCAACTCCGTAGATGTCCTCTGTGGACCCAGCTTCAAACGCTCATTGTGAAAAGTTTCCTGCACATTTAACAGGTGCTGCTGAAGGTTCTGGTTCAGATCTGCCGGTGGCTTTGGGAAGTGCTGGGACACAGATCTTTGAATGAGGTGAGCAACATTCTCTTTCTGGTCCTCAGTGATGCAGGCATCAGGGGTCAAACCAAGACGTTCAGCTAATGGCTGAGGCGGGATCTCCTCCTCACTCTGTAAGGGTTGTTCCGTGTGGGTGTTGAACATGTCCTGAGCTGAGGGGTTTTCATTACCTGCCTGGTGGTGCTCTATAAGGGAGTCAAATTTTAAACTTTTAGTTTAGAGCACTGAAAATGTAACCTTTAAAATACAAAGAAATGATGTGTGCATGTCACATTTCTCTCAACTGAATCATCTCTAGCGTGGAAGTAGATTCTTTTTCTAAAAATAGTTCTGTGTTGCCAAAATAAAAAATAGTATTCACACAGCCAATTAAAAATATTTTGCAATAAATGTACTCGTTATTTGGCTGTGAATTGGCACATGATTTCTGGTTCATCAGATTTGTTTTCTGAAGGGAGAGGGATTTAGTTACACGGTGTCCTGTTTTATGTTAAAAAAGCCCTTGTGTGACTTCCTTCGTGTGTTTTCCCGCCTGTGTGATTGTCTGCCTCGCCCTGAAATATTGCACCTGTGCCTTGTCGTCCTCCCCTCACTCTTGTATTTAGTCTGTGTGTTTCCTAGTCTCAGTGCCCTTGTCTTTGTACTTCAGTCAAGCAATCCACCTCTGCTTTCTGGACTACCTTTTTGGTTTATTAGGACTTTGGATTTTCTTCCTGCCCCTGTTGGATTTGTTTGCCTGATTCGGATTGTTTTCTTTGGACTGTTGGACCCCTCTGTGACATATTTGTTAACATACACAGGAATCCCCCAGATCCCCAGAGGCCATGCCACAGCTAGATCTGGTCTGATTTGAACTGCAGTATCACTTCCTAACATTGCTCCAACACTTAATATGGCCACACCGATCCAGTGTTTTTGAGTTTTTACATATTGCTGGATATCTAGATATTTGCAGTTCACGGTTCAATAGACCTGTTTTTAGATTAGAGTACAGGTTTTTGTCATTACAGCACTGTTTTCCTGTGCCTTCTGTCTATACTGGGAATTTCATGTAAATATAAGAAAACACTATCTTTACAATTATATTTAACCAACTTGGAACGATGGATCAATGATCCCATTTCAAGATGTATTAAAATAACAATCTAAACCAACAAGACAGACAATAGTAGATGAGGATAATGATAGTCTTAATAAAAGATGGCTCATTAGTGCATGAAAACAATGCAAATAAAGCACACTAACCATTATAAAATGGCAGCTTACCACATGGTATATTGTTGTTGTTGTTCTCTATTAAAGGTCTCCTGATATCGTTCCACCTAGGTCTACTCTTTCTCTTAAATAACCGCATTTTATTTTTTTTTATTAGCTTAGCATAGGCTGTGCAGGCAAACTGTTTCTTTGGAGTAGTCTTCGCTCCTGCTCAGCAGTGTTTATCTGTGAGTCAACAGCCGTGCTATGACTTATAAAGGCCGGTAAAGGGGTTTCCCGTTACATCATTGTACTTTCACTTTAACTTTCCTTCTGGAGTCTTTCAGGACAAGAACGCCAAAGTAGTTGCATCATGTTACATCATCTTACAGCACCAAACTAATACTAATACATCAATACCACAGCTGCTACCACTGTTACTGCTAATAATAATATGATATAATGAATTCAATTGTGACACTGGAACACAACAGAGCCATAATAAATGTTGCAGTTATTTTCCTACTGTGATACTTGATGATTGTTGATATTGACATACTTTAAATATTAGATTAGTTTCTTGTGCCACAGGGAAATGGGTGGAAAGCAATAGCTGCCTGGAATCTTAGAGTCTTACCCCTTGTCTACGAGGAGGCATTTTAGCCACATTTCTCAGTCTTACATCTCAAGCGTGTCTGAGGGAGCAGATGTTACTGTTTATTTTCAGTACAGCTGTATACACAGGCTGCATAACTGCTGGAGTTTCACTCCAACTTTACACACACAACAGTAACATGAAGTCAATTCATTTTCACGAGTTCATTTGAATCTCACAAGTGATGGTGCATTACCAAGATGTGGTTGGCTCACACTCAGCACTGTGCCTGAAGGCATCCAGAGACTAAGGACTGAAACTGATGCTGTCCTGCTGCTTTTAATTCAGGGTCACGCAAACTGCAAAAGGATAAGCTGTGATGTCAGGAAAGGTAATTTGAGCATGAGAGGTCACTTATGACCTTGGAAACAGCAGTTTAACCCAAAAAATATTAACTCAGTCCAATGACAAACCTTTTTCCACTTCCATCCATCTAGTGGATGTGACTGAAAGCTCCAGACAAAGTAATCACAGTAAGCACACCTTAAAGCTGTTCTAATCAAAGGTTTTATATTAACAACTGATCAATTGATTACTGTAATGTGACAGGTATTAATCATAGTGACTAACCCACAAAGATTTTGCAGTTCCCCTCAGCTATGCAGAGTATTTTAGCATCTTTCACCTTATTGTTTTGGCTTTCTAAACTTTGTTTTGCTTTCATCAGTGTAATTTTTGGCTGCAGCTGTTTTTAGCAAAAAAGCTTGCAGAAACCCACCGTACGCTACCTGATCATCACCAGACAGCAGACAGATACAGTTAGCAACTAGCTGGTGAACACAATGGAGCACTTAGCAGTTAAAAAAACAGATAATTCCCTCAGAATTTGGAGAGCTAAAAGGAGAGTGAGTACTGGATTTACATCTGCTGTGTTGCTCTGTCTCTGCTGGATGTGTCAAGAATCGGCTCAACAACTTCATAAGGTTGTTTTTTTGCTGACAAGTGAAAAATAATTTATATGTAACATATAGTAAATGGGCTTAAACATGTAATGTAAAACCACTGGCTTGGCCTTTTACATTCAAACCCGAGGAGCATTTCAGCTGATCAGAGAAGTGTGGAGGTGTCCTATAAGGGCGCAGATAATAGCCCCATTTTATCTTGTACACATCAAGCAATATCATGTGTCACAAACAGCCACTTAATTTTGTATTTTTTGATAGTTACATACATATGGACATTTCTTACTATCTTCGTTTGCAGGTAACATGAAATGATGCAACTTCAGGCAAGTGAGTGAAAGTACCTGTTGGTGCATGTCTGTCATTAGCTATTAAATAGGCATCTCATTATTTGGGACAATGAAAGGAAAGGTGTTTGCAAATGGAAAAAAAACACGTGTGCAGGTTGGTATGAAGATTAAAGATATCCAAAGTGAATTCAAATGTGAAACTGTTTTATTTAACATATTTTCTTGACAGTTTGGTGTTTTATTCAACATGAGTCCTTCTCCGTGACTGGTTAAACACAGAATGATCAATCATGTCGATCATTTCCCTTGACATACATAATGTTAATGTAGTGTTAATAAAACTTGTTTGGTGGATCTCAGTGCACAACAGCAACTTTGTGTGGGGATGCTCAAAACTTTCCCTTCAGACAACAAAAGCATTCTGGGAGAGAAAGCTATTAAGAATATCTCCGGGATATTCCCAAGTGCTCCTACATGCAGAGAGTGATGGGGGAAGTCCATTATCCAAACTATACTTTCAAAAGCTGGATATTCCCAACAAAAAAACACAGCATCAGTATTTCCAAACCAGAGTTCATTTTTTTTGTTTGATGCAGGGTGAGGTATAGTAGAATATAATATGTGTAGTATGTCAGGAATATGTAGTAGAATACATATTATTGGTTGCATTAAACACCAGTGGGTAGAGCGTCACTTTACCACTAGCTGGTGCATTAAAATGAGCTATTATGTGGTTGGTGTTTCACAATGGCTTTGAATGTAATGCCGGTCCAGAGTTAAAAGCTGTAGTCTGACAATGAAAATTGCAGTAGCGTATGGAGCTGAGTCATGATGAGATGTAAAAATGACAATAGTACCAAATATACAGTATCAAATCAAACGGGAGAGGGAGCACTTAAATAAATTGAATAAAACACTAACATAAATATGTCAATATTTAGACATTACAATATTAAAAACAACATACTTCGATAGACAAATATGGTGAGTTGTGGTACTGAAATATGATCACGGCTTCTGTGTACATAGTTGTGATGCTGCACACTCTGGTGAATTCATCTGGGTCTAAACTGTGGAGCATCCTTTTTTTTACTTTCAAGGATTTTAGCAAATACAATATCAATAACAGAACTTGCATTTTTTTACTAACTAATTTCAATCATGTTTATATCTCGCTTACTGAGCATAACAGTGTCTTGGTTGTTAACAGTTAATATATAAAACTGAAAGTGTACTGTAATCCTAACTCGGCAATTGAGTTTCATCAACATAGAAACAACATTTAAGCTTTATTAAAGTCAAAATTTTATCTTATTTGAACGTCTGCAAGCAAATTAAATAAAAATTTTATTTAATTTAGTTCAATCTAAGAACCATATTACTGAATAAAATACACAGTAAGCAATGCCACAAATCAATTCAGTAAACATTAAAGTGGAAGGGAATTTAAAGCCTTCAGTTCATCAGACTTTCATGTGCCAGGAGGAAAGTGGAGCCACAAAAAACCTGTAACTAAGACCAAACTCTGAATACAAGTCTTTTTTAGTAGGCATTTTCCTGCAGGGCTCACTCATCTTCACAGGTTTGTTATTTTCCCTTGTTTGTTTCGGTACCAGCTGGAGCTTTATGTGAAAGGAAACACCCGCTGGCCTTCAAGGTCCTTAGTGAGATCAGACATCCTCTTTACTTTAATTATCTGGATTGACCTCTGTGTGGACGGATATCTCTTAAACACGAGCTGAACTGGCTGCCACTGAGGATACACGACTGTGTCTTTGTACGTCTTCCTAACATGAAAAAGCAAGTGACATTTGCAGGCGGACGAACTCAGACGGTCCGCAGACTCCATCAGGATGATGCTCTGCCAAGGTAAAGTTAATTGTTGTGCATGCCTACAACAACTATTCTGTCCTAACTGTATTAGATCAGCTGGTTTTGTGTTAATGTCACTGAGATGCCACTTTTATGTTGCTCTTTCTGCTACAGGAGTACAGGAATGAGTGAGTCAAAAATGGGTAAGTGAAAATCATACAGCAATATTTATGATACAGTTGTTTATTAAAAATAAACATGTCTGCAGGAAAGAACAGCAGAAATAAGAGGAAACCCAAATAATGATTACTGGGTTGGCTCAGCATATTGAATCTACCTTGTTCTCAATTCAGTTTAATTCAAAAAGCTTTATTTATCCGTTAGGAAGTTTTTGTGCTGAGCATCAGTTCGTGTAAATTCAAATCATTCGCTCACATTCAAGAAACACAGCACAATATACCACACATACACGTCACATATCAGTAAAAAAGGGTTGTTAGTCTGTCTATTTGACTGTCCTTTCCTTGGGTCAGATTTCAGATGTGCATGCACAATCTTCTTGTTAAATAAACAAAACATGTCCAGTATCCAGTATAGTCTGCTTTGAAACCTGGCCTTTTCTATTGGGGATGTAGCAGTGTGAGGAGATCAGTGGAAACCAGGTGAAATCCTACACCTGAAACTGACCTGGTAACAGAAAGAAAGCTCCCTTGTGCTGTTTTCTAATTAGGAGCTCTTTGGTTTGACAGTTTAACTAAGTCCACGTACAAGCCTTCGGGTTTGGCTCATGTGTACCATGATACACTGGACATTGGACAACTTTACAAGCCAAATATCAACTTTTAAATTGAAAAAGAACAATTGGTATAGAGATCACAAACTGAGCCAAAACTGACTGGGCAAACACTTAATGAGAGGCAACAAACAATGACTAAGTAATAACTTTACACAGTTTTCAAGAAAGTACTACAAAAACATCTCAGCAAGACAACACGACACTCAAAGCCAAATAACAACCTTACAATGTTTTTGAGTTATTTTACATTGATGTTAATCACCCAACAGCCTTTCCATGATGGGAACCATGCATTACCAATAAATGAAATTAAATAATATTAAAACTACTTCAGTACAGGATTTTAGATTCACATAACAGTGTATAACTTAGCTAGCAGTCGTAGCGACCATAGCAACTAGTTGAACTTAGCAGTAACATTAGCTAGCTAACGTGTTAGCTACTAGCTAGCTACAAAGGCAAGACTCCACTAATTTGTGATATAGGAAGTTTATTCAATGTTAGAAACAATGTTTGGATATACAATTAAATTACATTATCATTTACTGTTGTCTGTTCTGGATCTTATACTAAATTCAGGATTCTTATATGTCATAAGGTCTCAATATTCTTTAAATTAACTGCTTGTGGGGATGGCTAACAGAAGCCATTTTTCCATCCAAACGTTTAAAGAAATTTACAGAAAATTGCCAAAAGAAAATGAAAATGAATGCGCGTTTCCATTGATTGTGTAATGAAGTCACCAGTCCAACCTCAAACACATGAAAACAATGTGGAAAATGTAATTGAAGTACTGCGTTAATGTTTGTTCTATGTATTAAAGTTTACAAGTTTATATAGTTTAAGTCACATGTTTCATCTTCATCATGTTTTATTCATGAAGTTTGTTTCCACTTTACTGTTGTTAAATTTTCAGCTGATTTTATTGTCAAACTGAAAATAGACATAAAAACAGATGGAAACGCACTTGCTGTCGTACAGAAAAGTCTCAGTATGCTTCAAACTAACTGCTTGTTGGATTGTTTGATGATGTCTGATGGTGGAATCGGACCATTTTTGTAACTTTCCCAAACAGACAATTCAACAGTTATGCCCATTCAATGCAGCAAACGGCCAAGTGAGGGAAGGTGTAAAAGTAGAAAGGGTTTCACCCCATGTGGACAAACAAGTCAAACATAATGAATGCCATTAAGGAGAGACTCTCCAACCCCGGTGCACTAATACCTCTATTTGTATCAACAAGTGTTTTCCACTGCCTTTGTGGATGGCCATTCATAACAGGTATAAATACTTCTGCCGTATTTTATTTGAAGCATACTTAGACCTTCAGTTCCCGATATGCTCTCTGGTCTCTCGGCAAACACACTTGATTAGCCACTGAGAAACAAATCTCTCGCAATTTCTGTCTGTTTTGTCTCTTGTAACAGCATTAAAAGATGCCAGTGTAAACTTCAGCAATGGTTTGAAAATCAACAGAGCACCAGCTGCAAGAGGTGAACCACATCTCCAACACGTAACCACCATACAGATCCCCAAAACCATGACCACAGCCCCATTTCTGAAGGTAAACTTTGAAGATTCCCATTCATAGGATCTTAGGAAAAAACTCAATGTTAGAATAGAATAGAATAGAATAGAATAGAATACCACTTTATTGTCCAGCCAAGGCTGGAAAATTGTCTTTGGTCTCACCAGACCTATAAAAACATCACTATACAAACATGAACATACAGTATATAAGCATACCAACATCATATCACATCGGTGACGTACATCTCTCCGCCCATCACATCACATCATTGCAGTTTATCCTATACACACAGTGTACAATAAACTTTCTGTACTGAAAAGTACCAATTAGTGCAATTTATTCATTAAATTCATTGCACTAGGTATAAAAGATCGCTTATAGATATTCCTATTTAACCCTAACCCTAACCTGTCCTGAAGGGAGCAGCTCAAACTCAATATGGAGGGGGTGTTTATTGTCATCAATGATACTCAGGACCTTTCTGTGTAGAGCCGTACTATGAAGGTCATCCAGTGACTTTTGTTGCCAGCCTATTACCTTTCCTGCTGTTTTGACTATCCTGGCCAGATATTGAAGTGATCGACCAGATTGTTGGTGTTGGAATCAGACAGGTGTTGGCTTTGGCTCTGAAAGAATGCGCAAAACTTTGAAACACTTTGTTCATTAAAGATGCGAGAACACACGGAGCTTGGTGAGGCGGCATGAGTAACAGGCGAATCGCAGCTAAAAACAATACATCTGTGGCCAGATATGGTCATGTCCAATAATTCCACAGAGGAAATACTGACACCCAGGGTAAAAACCAAGTCCAGTGTATGACCACGGTTATGTGTTTGCCCTTTGACATGTTGTTTGAAGTTAAAAGAAGTGGCCATATTTAAAAAGTCAGTTGCATTAAGATTGGTGGGGTCATCAACATGAATATTAAAATCGCCACAAAGAACAATTCTGTCATAATTTAAAACCAGAGTAGATAAAAATTCAGGAAGTTCTGATAAAAATCCTCCAGGCGGTTTTGGGGGGCGATAAATTATAACAAATATCATAGGTTGCAGGCCTCCAACTTTAAGAGTGAGAACTTCAAAGGAGTTAAATTCATCACAGCGTACTTGATGACATTTAAAATTTTTCCTATACACGCTCACTAGCCCACCACCACGACCACTGACCCTCGGTTGACTAAAACAATCATATTGAGGCGGACACAGTTCAGCTAGCTGGCTATAGTCATTCATCTGCAACCAGGATTCAGTTAAAAACATAAAATCTAGATTTGCAGACAAGATAAAATCATTTAAGATAAAAGTCTTACTTGAAAGTGATCTCACATTGAAGAGAGCCATTTTAAATGAGTTTGTTCTGGGTGCTGGAATTGGTGCAGTTGTCCTAATCCTTAAGAGATTACTATTATTTCTGTGTGGGATGTGCACATTTTGGTTTACTGGTCTATGCGTGATGATGACAGGAATAGAAGTCTTTGAACAGCGCTGGGAGCAGACGGCTTTACATGCCAGCAGGTGGAAACAGTTGTTTGTAGCAGTGAGCCAGAGATCTGTTCAGTGAGCAGTGGTGTGTCCAGGTGTGCTGCATGAATGATTAGTCATTCACGGTACAGTGCAGGTATATAATAAAAACTGGAAAAATCTGGTTAAGACAGTCTTTAGCTGGCTGGCACACACCTTCAGAGCACGCCCACCTAAGCCATCAGGTCCCAGTGCTTTGTGGGGCTTAATCTGTGAGAGGCGGGCACCAACCTCTTGCTCTGAAAGCTGAATGATGGAATTTCTGTGTACACCGAGACAAATGGCGTTGCTCTTATCTTTAAAATCTGCAATGTTGAATCTTCCATAAAACCGGTTAAGCTCATTCACAAAGGAGGGAGTGTCCAGTAAGTCGTCATCTCCTCCTTTGGGCATCCTTCCCATCATTGTGTTAAGCCCCTTCCATGCTTGTCTGAGTACAAAACTTTTCCTCCACCTTATACTTAAAATCCATTTTGGCCATTTGTATCTTGGCTCTGAGCTCCTTTCTTTTGTTTTTAACACCTTCAGTGTCTCCCCTCAGAAATGCCATCTTTTTGTCATTAAGACATCTCTTCATGTCTTTTGTCAGCCAGGGCTTGTTATTAGGGAATACTCTTACTTCCTTGGTATTAATTATGGATTTTTCAGAGAACTGTATATATGAAGTGATGCGATCTGTCAGTTCATGTGGGTCCCTGCATAAGTCAAAGAACATGTCCCAGTCTGTAGTTTCAAAACAGTTCCTTAGCTTGTCCTCACTCTCTCTGTCCCAGACCATAATTGTCTTGACAATAATGGGCTTTTCCCTCTTCATGCGTTGTCTGATTATGGTCTGATTTACCAATGGGAGGTCTGCATATTGCCTTATATGCATCCTCGATATTGCCATAACATAAGTCAAGAATGCGTGATGAGCGGGTTGGACAGTCAACATATTGTTGCAACATTGGGAGATGTATTGCTAAAGACAGTGTATTAAAGTCCCCCAGAATAAACACAGGTTGATCAGCTGATCTTGAGAGCACGGTGTTTGAACATCTACAACTGATTTACCCAACAGTGATTCATCCTGCGGTCCGAACTAGTGAAATACACTACTACAGGATGAAGCACAGTAATACAAAGTAAATGGGTCGGTGTCTGAGTGTGAATGCCAGCTGTGAAACCTGACCTCTGTCTGTCCCCCAGCATGCAGCACTAACACCCGCTCAGAAGGACTATCTGTACACCATTGCGGCTTCCTACAGTACTGCACATGTGCGTAACCTCATCACCCAACACTACATGAATGTGCTGCACAGGTGTATACGAGCAGGTAAGGAAAAAACAGATAAATAGGTATGATCTGTCCTTATTTTTGAACAACACAAACCCTTAAAAGGCTATGCAAATGATTTTAGCTTTAATCCATTATCTTACACTTTCTTACAGCTTGACCTAACTAAACATCTCACATGTTATTTTACCAAATATACCTGCACACTTCTTATTATTTTTATGGTTCTGGGGCCGTATTACAGAAACTTCCTAACCTGCAGATCCTATCTTAAGTGCTTGGTAACCATGGTAATAAGGGTTAGAAACTTATTTAGGAAAAAGGCCATTACAGATTAACAGTTCCTAAGTCAATGTTACAGAAGCATCCTAACTTCTTAAAATCTTAAATAAACTCTCCTAACTTTAGGATAACTGTTAAGCTATCCTAACTTTTACTTTTCCACCAGGTAGTGCTTAATAACTCATTTAATCCACATGGCTGCTCTTTTATTGCTTTTACAAAATCAACAAAATGTCAACAGAACTTAATAATTGATTCTACCAATGTGTTTGGTGACAAAACCCTCGCTAGTAGAAAGGCTGTATGTATAATAATGTAAAGGCTTGAGGTAACAAGGTCCAAATGCAAGTCTTTGATAGAAGGAGATCGTTAAAGACAAGAAATACAGGAAAGACATGATGACGTTAGTAAGTCATTTGACTTGAAGATCAATGATAGTTGTTTCTGCTTCATTTTCAGTGTATGTTTCATGGGGGAATCCTCTCTTTGCACTTTGTTTTATTGCCATTGTTTTCAATGTTTAATGTTTAATCAGCACTTATTGCATCTCTTGTTTTTCTTTTAATACACTATAATTTGCACCGTATGTAATTTATTCTGTGGCTTTCGCTGCCTTTTGTAAAACACGTTGAGACACTTTTGTGTGAAAATGCATTTTAAAACAACTAACACCATGTTTGTCGTGGCTCTGTTTGCAGACCCCAACCCTGAAAGAGACGACCTTGTTGTGACTTCTGTTACTGATGAGAGTGATAAACGTCGATCAGAAGCTCCTTCTAAGGAAAACCCCAATGATAAGATAATCAATAGAGCAAAGAATCCTGGAAAATCCTTTCTTCCAAAAATCCCAAACAGACGTACCAGGTGAGACACGCAATTTCAACAGACATTTATATACAAAAGCAGGATTTAAAGGAGATTATGAAGACATATTTTAGAGGTGATCACAAGTCCAGTCAGGTTTCAGAGTCTGAACCCAGGAGAGAGGATAAATAAATCTGAATGAGTGGCTGGTGAGTGGGGCTGGGTTTGGTTTGAGTCCAGAGTCCAGAGCATTCTAGCAAAGTTTGGCTGGCAAAAGGGAGAGGCTGGTGATTCAGTGAGTTCAAGGGCAGGCTGAGTGAGCTGGGTGAGCCGGGGTTTAGAGCAAGAGGTCTGGCAGGGATTTCCTTACGACAGTAAAATCCAGTTTGTATCACAGCTAGGTTAACAGACAGAATGTTAGAGCAAAGAAGGTTTCTAGTATCAGGCAAACAAGTAGACTGATGATGATGCAACAGGGACAGGAAAGCTGTTCTGTCCTCATGAAGCCAGGACGGAAAAGAGGGAACAACACAAACTGACAAAACCAAAACACAATGAGCACGCAGCATCCATCCAAAAAGTAACAAAACACGCTCATTCTCATACCAGATGTCACTTAGGTAGAAGGGGCACATTCATTTGAAGCCAGTGGCTGAAGTTGAATGTTATGCCATAAAAAGTAGCAGAACGTATTTAAAGTTTGATTACTGATCTCTCACCTTGGAAAGAAGCATTCAACATGTTTCACTGTTTCATTCACTTTGCAGGCTTTCCAAATCATCAGAACAAAGAAATATGCAGAAAAGTGCAACATCACCCACAGTGAGAAGAAAAAATCCAATAAGTAAGTGAGCAAAATGATCTGGACTTATTTTTTTCCTCAGTAAATTACACTCACCTAAAGGATTATTAGGAACACCATACTAATACTGTGTTTGACCCCCTTTCGCCTTCAGAACTGCCTTAATTCTATGTGGCATTGATTCAACAAGGTGCTGAAAGCATTCTTTAGAAATGTTGGCCCATATTGATGGATAGCATCTTGCAGTTGATGGAGATTTGTGGGATGCACATCCAGGGCACGAAGCTCCCGTTCCACCACATCCCAAAGATGCTCTTTTGGGTTGAGATCTGGTGACTGTGGGGGCCATTTTAGTACAGTGAACTCATTGTCATGTTCAAGAAACCAATTTGAAATGATTTGAGCTTTGTGACATGGTGCGTTATCCTGCTGGAAGTAGCCATCAGAGGATGGGTACATGGTGGCCATAAAGGGATGGACACGGTCAGAAACAATGCTCAGGTAGGCCGTGGCATTTAAACGATGCCCAATTGGCACTAAGGGGCCTAAAGTGTGCCAAGAAAACATCCCCCACACCATTACACCACCACCACCAGCCTGCACAGTGGTAACAAGGCATGATGGATCCATGTTCTCATTCTGTTTACGCCAAATTCTGACTCTACCATCTGAATGTCTCAACAGAAATCGAGACTTATCAGACCAGGCAACATTTTTCCAGTCTTCAACTGTCCAATTTTGGTGAGCTCTTGCAAATTGTAGCCTCTTTTTCCTATTTGTAGTGGATATGAGTGGTACCCGGTGGGGTCTTCTGCTGTTGTAGCCCATCTGCCTCAAGGTTGTGCATGTTGTGGCTTCACAAATGCTTTGCTGCATACCTCGGTTGTAACGAGTGGTTATTTCAGTTAAAGTTGCTCTTCTATCAGCTTGAATCAGTCGGCCCATTCTCCTCTGACCTCTAGCATCAACGAGGCATTTTTGCCCACAGGACTGCCGCATACTGGATGTTATTCCCTTTTCACACCGTTCTTTGTAAACCCTAGAAATGGTTGTGCGTGAAAATCCCAGTAACTGAGCAGATTGTGAAATACTCAGACGGCCCGTCTGGCACCAACAACCATGCCACGCTCAAAATTGCTTAAATCACCTTTCTTTCCCGTTCTGACATTCAGTTTGGAGTTCAGGAGATTGTCTTGACCAGGACCACACCCCTAAATGCATTGAAGCAACTGCCATGTGATTGGTTGATTAGATAATTGCATTAATGATAAATTGAACAGGTGTTCCTAATAATCCTTTAGGTGAGTGTATGTGGTAATTATGTTTAAAAAAAAGTAATTTTGTAGACAAGTTTCAGTAAAATCTGTCATTATTGAATGTTTAAGTTATTGTACCAGACATGTTAGGACTCATTGAATTAAAGAGATGAAGTTAATTGATGAATGTGTTTAGTTTAGTTGGTTAAATGTTTTCACTTTTGGTGCCAGGAGCCAGGATCAAGCTGTTGGAGGAGGAGCAGGAGGAGGAGGAAGGACTGGACGACTCTCTGAGTGAATGTTTGAGTTTACTGTCTTTGGGAGAATGGGATGATGACATTATCTCAGATTTATGACACAACATTTTGTGTCCATATAACCTGATAATAATTATGAGTGGGATTCTTCCCCCCACTTTCATAGTAAGATCAACAAACCTCTTGGATCACAATTTGTGAAACTGTGGAGCTTTTACAAGTGAAATAAAGAAAACAGAGTTAATATCTTATGAGCAGCAGCAGCTCAGTTTGCAGTGTTTTGTTATTAAAGCTGGAACAGGTCATCTTGTAGTTTAGTGCCCCCCAATGGCAGCAAGAAAAAGACCTTTTGAAGACTTATTTCCAAGAAATCACGTGTTCAGTGCTTTGAAAGCCATGGGATCACATATCTTTGCCTGAACTCATGTTCACAACCACAGGGGTGGAACAATAATTCAGATCATTTGCTTAAGTAAAATTACCAGTACTACAATGTAAACATTGTTATATTTCACAAGTATAAGTACAAAGTTATCATTAGCAAAACATACTTAAAGTATCTAAAAAGTAAAAATACCCGAGAAATGGCCCTGATATATTACATTTACATTTGATACTTAATTTTTATTTTTTTGTTATTAATATAGTGTTGTTTCTTTATTGATCCTAAACATTAAATTACTTCTACATACTCCTGACCTATGGCACACACACACATTTATTTATTTATTTTATTTTAATTTTTAATATTTTTATTTTTTTAACACATTTACATACATTTACTGTTTTATTTATTTAAAATTTAATATTTTTATTTTATTTTATTTTTTTGTTTTAGTTATTTTATTTTATTTAGTTGATGAACCATGTGAATTGATTTCACAACACACACGCTTACAGCTTTATTATTATTTTTATTTTTATTTTTTTAACACACAAACACACACTTTCACTGTTTTATTTGTTTTATTTAATGAACTGTATGAAATGAATTGTTCTTCTGTATTATATTTTAAGCTTTGGCAAAATTGTTGTTTGACATTCATGTCAATAAAGCTGTAGTGAATTGAATTGAATTGAATTATTACATAAAATGTTGTTAATATGGATGCTTGAGCATTAGCAGCATTTTACTGAGATTGCTGGTGAAGGTGGAGCTACTTATTTTGATACAGTTAAGTAGTTTAGTCCAGTGGTTCCCAACCTACAGGGGACAAGCCTCCTTTGATGGGTCACAATATAAAATTAAGGGGTTGTGAAATGATATTTGCATTAAGAAAGACAAAAAAAAGCTCTGCTACAAAACTCTACAGTAACTTATCTTTGCTTTTTGTGAAAATTGACCTCTGAGACTCTGGGCCTCAGACAGTCAACTAAATGAAATCATCTGATAAGTTTAAATGTCTAATGATTATCAGAAACCATCTGATAAGGTGGAATGTCTGTTTGAAGATCTGTTAACAACCCATAAAGATATGAAACGTGACAAAGAGGCCCCATTGTAAGAGATTCTGTTGGAAACCACCAGTTTAATCTATGTGTTATATTTTATAAGCTTGTCATATCTGTAAAATGTTAATCTGAAAAGGAACTTCCAGCTGTCAGATAAATGCGGCGTAGCAGAAAATGGAAAGACTCTAGTAAAGTACAAACCTCTGGATTGTACTTAAATACCAAACCTGGGTAAATATACTTAAAGCAAATGATACGTTACTCTTGTGAGAATAACTGGTACTGCTGCCATTACATGGACTATATGTTATATACGGTATGTGCGTTAATCCAAGATTATCTTAACACTTTTGGGACTGGTGATGCAATTAATTCTGTTTTGGGGTGTTTTTAAATACTTAAAGTAAAAAAAAACATCACAGACACGAGAGTTTCACATGGACAAACAGAACAAAGCTAGCAGAGCTCTTTTATCTATTGGTGACTTAGTATTCAGACAAATGTATTGTATGTATTTCTGACATAATAAACAATAAACCTTTCACTTGATACAAATCCTCTAAAAACCCTCTGTTTTACTAACTAATGTGTGCTGAAATGTATCTCCAGTTTTGTCTGAAAGTTAACATTTATAGTTATGAGGCTGCACGTGTTTCATTGCTGTGGTTTTTTAGGACGTTTCAAACTGTTCTGTCACTGACTGCTGTCGTGCTCTGTATTGGTCCATCGTGGCCAAAACAAACCAGTCTCACTAAATTTTCAACCACTTGCCTCCACGTTTTCATATCAACTGACTTTTTAAATAATTTTATTCTTCTTTTAATATCCTCTTGTAGTCATTTCTAGTCTCCTCTCTTCTACTGTGTTTACTTTTTTATGAAATCCTGAGATCATGAGTCCAAATTCAGAATCAACCTAAAGAACATTTTGACAACCAACCAAACTTTTTCTACATTGGCTTGCTTGCTGAAAAAAAAATCTGATAAATTGTATCTCCTTACATGAAGGTCTAAATGTTTTTTCAAAGCCTGGAACATAATTATAATATAATTATGGCAGGAAAATACTAAATATCAGTCTTCTAAAAACCTTTTGGCCTGGTCTGGTTTTATTTAGAGGCAATATTCTTGATTTTGACCAAGAATATTGCCTCTAAAAAAGCAGAATTCATGTTATTTGTGTAACTGTGTTGTTAAGACTGTCCTCAATGGCAACTAAGGCTTACAGTACAGTACAGTTATTTACCCACCAAATATGGCAAAAAGCATGTGGACATGCCTGACACTGTTTGGGCACCTTAATTCCAGGTAAAGTAAATGTTTATTCTACAGCATACAATGATATTTTAGATAATAGGATGCTTCTAAATGTGGTATCAACAGTTTGAAGAAGTCCCTCATGCAGTGGTGTATTATTATTATTTTCATTATTATTTAAGACAAAACAAGTGATGGAGTGAAAAGATCTTTACTGTGGGGGGAAATTAATGAAAAAAAAGGCAGACTACATGAAGCTAAAGGCTTGTTGGTTACATGTACATGACGTGACAAGGGCAAAAATAACAAACAAAAAAGAAAAAAATGGCACAAAATATTTCTTTTGATAACAAATACATGTGACATTATTGCGTTCTCTACTTTTACCAAATGACAGCTTGGATTCAAGCAAATGCTGATGACATATAAACAATATAATACATAGGTGTTTTAGAGTTAAGTTACTGAACAGTTTGTTACAGCAATAACTGTAAATAAATTGTGGTGACTGTAGGGGAGCTGCTGCCCCCTGGTGGAAAGGAATGAATCGACACACTGAGCCACGTTAACCCAACTCTCCTCTCGCCGTCCTTTTAAGATTTCTTGTACTCGATTCTCTCCACCTTGACGTCGTCGCCGATGAGCTGATAAACGTACGTCACCACTGTAGACGCCTGGATGTCCATTAATACAAAAGAGGGGATGATGTTGCTGTTGAGGAGAGAGGACAGATGTGTTTCAGGGTCAAGGTTCGGTCTGGTACTATCTGTAAACATCTCATTCTCTCCTTCCACAAAATCCATTTATTTGATAAAAAGTAGTTCCAAAAAACGTTGCTGTTAAATTTGTTAAATGTTATTTTCCAATGCTATGAGCAGCATTAAGGAAACCTCCACTGTATTGGAGGTAACTGATGGTATTAAAGCCAATATTGGCCTATATGTAAATAAATAAATTGAAGGCAGACATCTCACAACCTCAGCACATAAAACCAACCAAAAGTACCTGCATGGATGGATTCGATTAAATGTAAGAGAGAAACACTATTTTTCTTGTAATTTGACCCTTTGAAGTTTTTAAAGCAGCATTAAAAAAACTCTTTTGTTGCTCTCTTATCCAAACATAAAATAAAAGTAATCAAACTACCTGCTGTTGGCTGAAGCAACCACAAACAACCTGTAGAACAATGCAGTGTGTGTCGCCTGCACTCGTATTTATTATCTTTTTTATTGTCTTTGCTGGCACGTGTGTCGCTTCTGTGTCACACCGTTAGTGAACGCCAAACAACGTTAAATTTAAAATATTTTAAAAAATGCTTCAGTCAAGCAGTAGTCAAGGCTGTTTGGCTAAACGTCGCGAGTTTCTCTCACAGTTTTTTGATTCAGTATTTAACTTTATTTTCAGCTGACATCATAGTTCTAGTTGAACTGTATTTTTTTATTTTAAGACGCATGTGTCTGTGTTTCTAGCCTCTACCATGACGCGGGTAAAATGGATGAGAGAACACACCAAATTTGATTTGCTTAGAATACGCCGCTGGACCATAAATGACTTTCTTCTTCAGTGGTACCATTTTCTGTGCAGTTACAATACAAAGCAAATAATCACACTTCAGCTCACAGCATCCCACTTCTAATTTACGCTGCTCACATGAGAAGAGTTGACGTTATTAATCTGTCCAAATTACAAATAAAACTGTGTCTGAGCTAGATGCTGATATTTTTTTCAGGAATCCCTGCGATAATCCTGGGTCACGGGATTCCTGTGATGTTTATATATATATATATATATATAAACATGCAGTTCTAATCTGAATAAATGCTATTTTCTGATTTTCTTTTAAAAATCAGGAACAAGATGTGACAGGAGTGAAGATCCACTCCTGTGTCACTCTCTAGTATGTGCTACAAATGGCACGTCAACAACATGCTTAAATTGTCCGCACGTCCAGGCTTTGTGGTTTCAGCAGGAGGTGGATTTCATCACTCCTCTACCTTTCCAGTGCGCTGTAGGCTCCTGTGGCCGAACCAGGGTTGATGTAGAACTTGTTTTCATTCTCAAACGCCTCGAACTTGTGTGTGTGCCCAGAGATGAGGATGTCGACGTCCAGCTGTCTCTGGAGCAGCGCCAGGCTGGCCATGTCGCCCCAGGGGATCACCTGGTGGCCGTGGATGAGACCGATCTTAAACTGACCCACGGTCACCACCTTCTGCTCTGGGTAGTTCAGGTTCTGAGAGGGGATGAGAAGGAACAAGCACAGTGAGCTTTTTTTAGTTCAAAGTCGTATTCTTGTAATAATGTACTGCTGAAAACAATGATGTGCACAGGTTTAACCAGACACAGTACAGAGTGAATGCTGTGATATCGCTGTATTACAGGATGTGAGTTCTTTGTGAACTAGGCAGGTAAAACTCAAGTTGTGAGAAGGGAGTAATTACAGTTTCATTACACGCCAATTAGTCTTCAGTGCAGGCAAAAGATCCATTTGCTTCTTCCTTGCGATTAAATATTCAGCCTCAGAAATTAAGCTTTTCTTCCCCAAACTCTAAGTTTAAAAGCTCTTATTGGAAATTCTGTCAAATAAAATTCGTCTGAACTATGAAGAACAGCGTCACACCACCAACAAAGACTTCAG